GCACCTCTGCGGCCCGGCGGTCACGTACGTTCGCGGGGCTTCGTTCTGTTGACGAAAGGTGCGTTTTTATCGCCGGGATGTGCGGTGGTAAATCCTGAACCTGGAGTTTTCTCCCCGAAAACCTCTTCCGAGAAAATTCCGGAGAAAGAACCCGGTAGACTCAGGAGATGGTTTCTGAGCGAGCTGGGGAAAGAGGAACAGTGTTTCCCCGGGAGATGCTGAAAGGCTGTTCATGTGCCCGCGGGGAGGAGCCCGACTTGGTCCCGGAGCCTCCCGCCTGGTGTGGCCGGTGTCGTGGCCGCGACCGTAGCCGCTGTCACTCGAGCTGTGCACGCTGGTGATGGACGGCGCCTCCGAGGCCCCGCGACTGCCGTGCCGCTCCTCGCAGACTTGACCCGGGGACACGCATCCAAATAAACGCCCGGTGTGCCGGGGTTTGCGCGCTGGGAATGCTCTTGCGCGTGCTTTAGCTGCAGACAGTCTAGGGAAACAACCATTTGTTATGTTTCTAGTACTGAAGAATGAAATCAGCTACTTTAAAAACACGTCGGTGGGGGCTGTAACTTGCATAGAGAAATTTCATCCTAAGTCTTACACAATAATTTAAGCTATTTAAGACCACGTTGATGGTTGGTAACGTAACCACTTAGAATGAAGACAATGTTCTGAAATGTTCATTTGAACTACAGTTCCATGTATTTCATGTGCCCCTTTCCTGGGCGGCACGGCTGCCGTGTATTATTTTAAAATTAAAACATTTATTTATTTATTTTAGAGAGAGAGAGAGAGAGGGAGTGAGGAAGGGGGAGAGAGAGATGTGGATTTGTTGTTCCACTTAGGGAACCCGAAACTTTGGGCGTGTCAGGAGGACGCTCCAACCAACTGAGCAACCCGGCTTGTGCCAAGTTGAAATTGGGCTCTGATTGTGGAATTGATTTGATTTTCCTGCTGAAAGTTATCTTCACTGGCCAGTTGCCTGCTGGTAATGTACTCTTATCAGCCAATACTGACACAAAGAGAAACCCACATCTTGGCTTGACTGCTAGAATAGGCAGTTCAAATTATTTCTGTAGTGCAAAGATAAACTATATTTGTTTCATACATTTCGCAAAAATTTTGTGAGGTGTATTGGTTAGGTGCACTTTGTCCTTTTGCCTTTTTATTATCTAAGACTCAACATGTTGCCGTACCTGTCTTTTACCTGGCCTGGCTTTTATAGCCCATAAAGACTATATGCACAGCTCAAAATAGGTTGTACAGTGCCCTGGCCATGACTTGTGAAGAGGATATAATCTCTTCACTTATTTCTTGAATTTTTCACACAATTGGTTTACAACTTGAGCATTAGTTTTTTCCTTTTTTACAAGAATGTGCCACATTAGTGTCAGTTTGACAGTAATTTTTAATGAAATAGCCACATTGATATTTCAATTTCTAGAAGTAATAATTTTTTAAAAAATTTATTTTATTGATTTTTTTTACAGAGAGGAAGGGAGAGGAATAGAGAGTTAGAAACATCAATGAGAGAGAAACATCGATCAGCTGCCTCCTGCACACTCCCCACTGGGTATGTGCCCGCAGCCAAGGTACATGCCCTTGACTGGAATCGAACCTGGGACCCTTGAGTCCACAGGCTGATGCTCTATCCACTGAGCCAAACCGGTTAGGGCTAGAAGTAATAATTTTGAACTAAACAATATTTATTTGGGAAAATTAGTTGTGGACAACTGGGATTTGGAAAGGGAGGACACTTGTAAGTGATTCTTAGGGAGAACCTGTGGCAGAATGGAAAGTCCTGGATCTGGGATTAGGATATAAACGTTTTAATCTTCACTGCCACTTAGTCCCTTCTGCTTTAGGGCAAGTTACTCAACTTCTCTGAACCACAGCTGTTATAGATAGCTATTTTATTTTTCTACCTGGTTATAAAAATAATATTTACTTCAGAAAAATTGGAAGTACAGAAAAGAAAGCAGTTACATGCTATGTACCCAGCCGCAAACCCTGTTAATAGTTTACTTTCTTCTTTCTAATTTTTTCTCTTATACATTTTAATGTAATTGAGATTATGTTGTGTTTACAATTTTTATTTGGTTTTAATTTAACATTATAGTTTAAGCATCTTCACATATTATTACATTCTGAATAAAAGAATTTAAAGGCTGCGCGTTTCCTTAGCTGACTTAATAGTTGTCTTATTGGATTTTAGACTCCCCCCTCCCCCAATTCTGCTTTTATATATTGGGCTGAGATTCATGCTTGGGCATCAATTTTTGCTCTAATTTGGGTTATTTATTTAGGATGGAGTCCAAGAAGTGAAGTAACAAAGATTATGGAAACTTTTAAAGCTCCTGATACAAGTTTTTATTAGATCACTTGATCCTAATCATTTTTAAAATTTAAAAAAAATTGAGGCTTCTTTTGCATAATATGAAATACTCCTAGATTCAACACATACTTGTTTTCACATTTTCACATCTCTGTTGTCAAGATGCCTCTTACAGCTGACGATGTTTTATTTCTAATTGCCTGCAAATGTACACACCTGGCTGTCCTAGTGCAGTAATGGCGAACCTATGACACGCGTGTCAGAGGTGACACGCGAACTCATTTTTTTGGTTGGTTTTTCTTTGTTAAATGGCATTTAAATATATAAAATAAATATCAAAAATATAAATCTTTGTTTTACTATGGTTGCAAATATCAAAAAATTTCTATATGTGACACGGCACCAGAGTTAAGTTAGGGTTTTTCAAAATGCTGACACGCCGAGCTCAAAAGGTTCGCCATCACTGTCCTAGTGGCATGACTGGCCAACTACAACCTCTAAAGTCGTTCAGCCAACAAATCAGTTTAACTTGAAGCACTACCATTCGTGTTTGTTGTTTGAAAATACTCCTTTGACACCATTAAAACCTGCTGTATGGGCCCTGGCCAGTGTGGGTTCAGTTCTGGTCTGGGTACACACCCAGCTTGAGGATTCTATCTCAGGTTGAGGGAGGCAACTGATCATGATGTTTTTCTCTCTCCCTCTCCCTTTCTCACTAAATTCAATAAAAAGAAAAACTTGCTGAATGGTATCTCATGAAATGGTTTGTAAGAAAATATGTATTGGGGACAAAAGGGGAGCGCATCTAAGAAATACTTGTACAGAATAATAGTGGATGAGAAAATGGATATTTGATAACTCTTGTGTCAAAAAGTGACTCACAAGAGTTGAACTCTGAAGAAATTTTAGGGTTATTAGTATATTAAATTTATGCTGCTTGTGTTTGTTTTCCTTTTTATGTTTATATGGGTGTTATATATAAAATTGTATCTAAAGGTGTGTTTCCATGAAATTTAAATTAAAAATTTCGAGACATAAGAAAACCTTAAATTATAACTTAATTGCCAGCATTGTTTTGTTTGTTTTAGTAGTATATAAAAATGGTGCAGCTCACAGTGGATGCCATCATAGATTCAGTGAAATGGTATTGATTGTATTTTTATAAGTTGCTAATTTTAAACAATCATACAGTGTTGAACTTGATATTTGAGTTTTAATTAGGGAACCTATTTCAACCCTGTTTGGGCTAAGATGGATCTTTTCTTTTTTAAAAATCCTCACCTAAAGATTTTTTTTCATTATTATTGATTTCAGAGAGAGAGAAACTGATGTGAGAGAGAAACATCAATGGGTTGCCTCCCATATGCACCCCAACCTGGGATCAAACCACAACTTAGGTATGTGCTCTAACCGGGAATCGAACCCGAAACCTTTTGGTATATGGAACTATGCTCCAACCAACTGAGCCACCTGGCCAGGGCAAGAGGATCCTTTTTTTAAATGCTTTTATTTTTCAGATTTAGATTTAGAGTTTATTTTTTTTTTTTTAAGGGCAAGATGATTTTTTTTAAGTGAGAAAGTTTACTATGATTGATATTTAATTAACAATTTTTTTGAAAAATATATTTTTATTGACTTCAGAGAGGAAGGGAGAGGGGGAGAGAGAAAAACATCAATGATGAGAGATAATCATTGATCGGCCACCTCCTGCACGCACCCAGGCATGTGCCCTTGACCAGAACTATACCCGGGACCCTTCAGTCTGCAGGCCAATGCTCTATCCACTGAGTCAAACCAGCTAGGGCCAAGATGATCTTTTAAATTTAGTTCCACTACAGGTTTTTACATAAATGTATTCCTTGAATTAGGATGGTAATTTTTGGAGGAAAAAACAACTAAGTGACAGATTTTTCTTAAAAATGGCATAGCCAGGGCCTGGCTCAGATGTTGAGTGTTGACCTATGAACCAGGAGGTTCAGTTTTAGGTCTGGGCACATGCCTGGGTTGCAGGCTTGATCCCCAGTAGGGGACCTGCAGGAGGCAGCCAATCAATGATTCTGATCGTTGATGTTTCTCTTTCTCTCCTTTCCTCTCTGAAATCAATAAAAAAATATAATTTTTAAAAAATGGCATAGCCAAACAAGATTTTTTGATGCTTTTCTTTTTACATCTTAAAATAGCACTTTGAGAGGTAGGAGTTGAGGCACTAGAGCTAAAAAATAAAAAAATTCTGTCAGATCTAATTCTCTGGGGCATGGGAAGTAGATGACTGAGAATGTAGACTTTGTATATTGGCATAATGATTTTGTGCTTTTTTCCAAAAACTGTATTCACTTAGTTTTCTCTTCTGAAAATAGGAAGCTAAGACTAAGTTGATTTTTAAAAACCAGCTTTTAAGGTTGAGGCATTATTTGTAGAGTAAAATACAAGGTCATCTTTTAGATTTTAAGCTGTAGTTATGGCAATAGTTTTTGGTATTTTAATTCTTCTCTGCCTTTGAGATATAAAAAGCTTAGCATACTTTGCCTTGATATGCTGAGTTTCCTTGTCTCTGAAATTCTTTTTATTGACAGTCTTAAATTTACTTACAATTTTCCCCCCCTTAAAATGAAAAATTTTATGTGCTCATTGGAAAAAAAATAAAGCCAAACAATATAGAAATGTATAAAGAAGAAGAAAAAGAATAAGCCCAAATTTTGCACTCAGAAAAACATGGTTAACGTTTTATAGGCTATGCTGGAGAGGGGCATTGTGGTATTATTTTTGGATTAGGATGGGGAGGGGTTTGGCATTCCTAGAAGATACCACAGAGAAAAAGAAATAATCATAATAAGTTATCCGGAAATAAGACATTTAAAGTATTTACACATGGAATACTGTTAAATTAGCTTTGAATGTGTCTTTTGATTTGTTCTTAAGTTTAATTACAGACTTTTTACTTCATAAAAATATATCTTTGTTGTTCCTTCTAAAAGTTTGTATGATGTATTTGGAAAAACCCTTTGTTTTAATGAAGTGAAACAGAACAAAGAATCCTGACATCTTGGCATTACTATCAAAAGAGAAAAAATAGATTAATACTCAGAATAATTAGAGCTCTGATATTCTAGGATTTTTCCTTCCTTTAGAAAAAATTTCCATCTGATTTATGTAATGGTTAACATAAACTTATTGCTTTTATTTTATACAGACAAGGTCTTTACTGGGTGTATTTGAAGAAGATGCTACAGCTATTTCCAACTATATGAACCAATTGTATCAAGCTATGCATCGGATTTATGATGCACAGGTAAAAAGCTAAAGGCTGACTCCATGCTTTTTAAAAATGAATCTTTAAGCACAGAGTGTCTGTCTTGTTTACTGGTGCCTAGTGCTGACCTGGGCTCATAGTAAGAAATACTTGTTGAATGGATGAATGAACATTATTTTGTATTACAGAGCTCACATTTCTGTTACTAATGCATAGTTTGTAGTACTACAAAAGTTATGAAGATTGAAGCATCTGTCCCTACTCCCCAAACCCAGTAAAGGCTTATTGAAACTTACTAACAGTGACCTTGGCCTAAGATTTTAATGAAAACCCCATATTGACACCCATATTTTCCCTAATCATGCTTTTAATCTTATGGAATACTTCCTCCCCTTTTTAAACAAAGGATTTGAAAGTATTTTGCCTCTGTTTTGTTAATAGAAGGTAATAAAAATTAGATGTAGCTCTGGGGCATAGGAGATGAATTTAAGAAAATAGAAATGACTAAATTATTTTGTTGAATAGGAATAAGATTTGAGGCTTTGTTTATGAAATTTAATTATAAGCCTTAACAACAACCTGGGTTCTATAGTAAACTTTCTTTGGGATTGATTAAGTACTCATTTTTTCCCCTTCTAATTTTCTCTTCCTTCTGGACTCACATTTTCATTATGTACTTAAAAGTTGTGATAGTTGTTCTTTTCTTTTCTTCTAATTGGTCTCTCAAATTGGATTTCTGAAGACAGGTTGATATGTAAAAGAAATGTTACTTTTGTCATATTCATCATTGGAAAAAACCCTTTAAATTAAAAAAACTATTTCTTTCATATGGTTCTGTTGCTGTATTTTATGACTAGGTTGACCACATTTTGGTTGTATGTTATTAAATGCTTATTATGGACTAGTATCAGTATCTAGAGAAAGGGATAATGAGTTTTCAGTGTAGAATCTCTTAAGATTTTGCTAAGATATGTACAGGTTACTCCTAACTTTAAAGCTTTAACAACATTTAATTTAATGCCTAATTTTTATTAGTTAAAAACAAGCATGCACCAGGAACATTGCTGGTGTATATTTTATGGTTTGAGTTTCCTTTTAGCACTTTAATGGTAGTTCTCTTTCCAGTGATTTAGTGAGGGGTTTAGAGAACATGTACGATATTTTATGTTAAGTGATAAATAAAAATGGTGTAAGTATCTTCAACTAAAAGTTTTTCTTATCAGTAATGTCTCCTTAATTTGAATTAATCTTTTTTATAGAATGAATTAAGTGCAGCAACACACCTGACTTCAAAACTTTTAAAAGAATATGAAAAACAGGTACTGTATATGAAAGTTTTAAGTGCATAATTTAAAATATGCAGTAATACCATATCTATATAGTTAAGTAGAATTTCTCATCAAGAATCCTAAACTTTTTAGAATTCACAGAAGTTAATTTTGATATGCCATTGAAATTCCTTTATAGCACTTATATCTAATTTTAATGACTTAATGTTAGCTACAGAGGTTATCTGATTGACCTCTCTTCTTTTTACTGAAGCTTGCTTAAGTTACACAGCTGGTTATTGGAGGAATTGGAGCTAAACACCAAATCTTTGAACTCCCAAGTATGGTGTGCATTTCTATATGCCATGTTAATTGGTTGCTTAGCAGCATCATAATTAATGTTTACTAATTATATAACTATACTAGCTTATTAAAATTATACTTTTAGAGCTTATTCAAAGTTTAGAAGTTTTCTGAAGTTATTTAAAAATCTAAATGATAATGTCATTCACAAAAGGCATACAGCATTGGTCCTTCACCTCATCTCTGTTTCTCACCTTTTAGCGTTTTCCATTGGGTGGTGATGATGAAGTGATGAGTTCTACTTTGCAACAGTTTTCAAAAGTTATAGATGAGGTAAGTGTTTATTTTATTTTGCTTAAATAAGTGGTCTTATAATTAAGTTATTCAAGTTGTTTAGCTTTTATTGGGAACTGTTATTATTATGATTATATGAGTAAGTCCCTTTTAAAAAAAGATTACTATTTATAAAGGACCTTATTTCTTGGTGGCTGTCTTGTAAAAACAGTACTTTCTATGCTTGATTAAAACAAATTGTTTTCAAGGAATAAACATATGGATATGTTCTCCCAGTCCATGTAACTAACATTCAGTGTTTCATTGTCTTATCTGATGAACACAGGAAGAGAAGAGGCTCTTTATGGTTTTTCTTTTTTTTGCCATCAGGCAACATTTTATCTTCCATTCTAAACAGCCAGTATTAACCCTTAATTTCTCAGAACAAATAACTAAAAAAAGGCTGGAAGTTAGGAGGAAGAAAGGTGGTGAGAGATGTTTGGAGAGCCCCTGACTGTTCTCTACTAGTACAGTGAAAACTCTTCTTTTCACATGCACCATTAGTCCTGTCTTTTCTAGTATCTTAACTGGAAAATAAATTTTTGAAATATTTTAATAATTCATTATAAAAATATTGTAGCAGATCAATATAAAGAAATATTTATAGAAAATGGAATTTTTTTTATTGTGGTAAAATATACATAACTAAAATTTACTACTGGTGATATTTGGTACATTCACAGTGTTGTGCAACCATTAGCACTGATATTCTAGACACTTTTATCATTATCCCAAAGGAGACCCTGTGCCCATTAAGCAGTCACTTCCTACTCCTCACTCCTTTAGCTCCTGGCAACCATAAATCTGTTTTCTGTTTGTTTGGATTTACCTATTTTGAATATTTCATATAAATGGACTCAATATAATTTGTGTCATCTTTCACTTAGCAAAATGTTTTTAAGGTTCATCCATGTTGTAGCATGTATCAGATTGCATTCCTTTTTTTTTTTAATTGATGTCAGAGAGGAAGGGAAAGAGATAGAGAAATAGAAACATCAGTGATGAGAGAGAATCATTGATTGGATGCCTCCTGCACGTCCTCTACTGGGGGAGATCGAGCCCGCAACCTGGGCATGTGCCCTTGGCCAGAATGAACCTGGGACCCTTTAGTCCACAGGCGGACGCTTTATCCACTGAGCCAAACCGGCTAGGGCTGCATTCCTTTTTTTTTTGCTAAATAAAATCTTGTATGAATATACCACATTTTATTTATCCATTTATCAGCTGATGGACATTTGGGTTGTTTTCCACCTTTTGGCTAATGCAAATAGTATTGCTATGAGCATTCATGTACAAGTTTTTATTTTTTGTTTTTTTTTTTTGAACACCAGTTTTCAATTCTTTTGGGCATATACCTGGCATGGGATTGCTGGGTTATATGGTAATTTTGTGTTTAACTTTTTGAGGAACCACCAAACAGATTTCCACAGCTTCTACACAATTTTACATTCCCACCAGTAATGTAGGAGGGTTCCAGTTTTTCCACATTCTTACCAACATGTGAGAATGTGTTATTTTTATTTACTTTTTATTGTAGCCATTGAAGTGGTGTGAAGTGTAATCTCATCATAGTTTTGACGTGCATTTTCCTGATGGCTGATGATATTGAGCATCTTTTCACGTGCCAATTGGCCATTTGTAAATCTTTGATAAAGTGTCTGTTTTCTTAATTGGGTTGTTTCTTTTATTATTTAGTTTAAGGGTTTTTTATTCAAGTTCCTTATCATTGGCAAATATTTTCTCCCATTCTGTGGATTGTCTTTTTACTTTCTTGATAGTATCCTTTGGTATACAAAAATTTTAATTTTGATAAAGTTTAATTTATATATTTTTTTGTTGTTTGTGCTTTTGGTTTCATATCTAAGAAATCATTGCCAAATCCAAGGTTATCCTAAGTTTTCTTCTAAGAGTTTTAAATGGAACTTTTTTACTGTATATTTTATTACCTAATTTTGTGTTCTCTTATTATCAACATCTTTTACTAGATTTTGTTTTATTTACATAACACTGGTTAAATGTTTCTGTTACTTGGTCTTTTTGGTTTTTCTTTTACTAGCTTAGCTCTTGTCATGCGGTACTTTCAACGCAGCTTGCTGATGCCATGATGTTCCCCATTACCCAGTTTAAAGAAAGAGATCTGAAAGGTACTGAAGTCAAGCTTATGTTTACTTTCATTAGCTATCAGAATATTAATGCCTGTAAAATGCATATTACTCTATATCTTAACCATTTCTGAATACAGCTTGTGCCACATTTACTTTAATTAGTCACTAAACATTTATAGGAGCTAATTAATGCTAGGTGTTAAACTAGATACTGAGGAATACTGATATGAATAAGATGTCACTTCACTTGAGAAAGTCTACAGAAGGATGTAGATAAACAGATAATTACAATACTGTTTCATAGGGAATGAGCAAGGTGTTGTGAAAGCTCAGAGGAGGGTGTCAGAAAGGCTTCACCAAGGATTTGACATGAGCATTTAGCCATGAAGAGGAGTTTGCCAGAAGAAAAGAGTCATTCTATTAGAGGGACTAGGAAATACAAAGGTATGGGTTGTAGAAATACATGGCTTGTTTTGAGAATGATAAGTTAAGTGTGGCTGCAATATTGAATGTGTTGGGCATGGCAGGAGACAAATCTAGAAGAAGATTAGTTGGGACTAGGTTATGTTAAAGATGTTCCACTTAAATTTATAAGGAAAGAGAAGCCAATGGAGGTCTTTTAAGAAGGAGACACAATCCTTTTGTTTTTGGAGGGTGGAATAGAGTGAATTTGATGTCTAGGAGAATGGGTTAGGAGGTTATGAGAGTCCAGTGAGGTATGACTGAGACTTGAACTGAGACAGTGGCACAGGAGATGGAGGTGTGTTTATGGCCTGGAGTGGCAGGAGGTAGGCGGTACTGACACAGCTAGCAACCCATCACTTAGTTGTTTGTGGTGGATTTTGCCCCCATTTAGCATTATTCAGTGATAAAATGAGTTTTATAGAATTGGCTCTGCTTTCTCATAATTCACAATCTTAGAAAATTACATAGATCTATTTATAAGATAGGTAGATAGAATAAACATTGAATTAATATATCAGTGGATGGTAAAATATTTAAATTATAATGGAATAAAAACAAATGTATTTTAGAGATGGAGTTAATATTTTCGGTGGTAAATCCTCAAGAATGGTCGTTCTAAGGTCAAGAAACAAAATCTCTTTTCTCAATCTAAGGGGACTGAATGTCATAATCTTTTTAATAAAATGTTCTTTATTTCTTATTCAACATTTGAACTTATTAGAGTCAATATAAAAAATGAGTTGTTAGATTCTGGTACAAAGACTATTTCCATATCTTAGAATTTACAGTGGTTTTACAATTTGTTTTTGTGTCATATTACTAATTTGTGGTGAGTAGATTTTTTGGAGTTGTAATGTTGCTAATGATAGTAAATGTTCCATAGGCTAGCTGAAATACAGAGTGGCATTTTCACTTTGAATGTTGAAATATGAGATATTATTTGGAGTTTTAATTATAGCTAAAATGGCAGTTACTATTTTCTAAACAAACTTTAAGATATTTCATAAATATGCTACACTGAAATTATTCTTGAACTTTTCCAGAAATATTGACATTAAAGGAAGTGTTTCAGATTGCTAGTAATGGTAAGCTCTTAATACTTTACAGTTATTTCTTGTTTCATGCATTTTTAAAATCAACACAAATCTGTGGCCAGATTCTATGTAATAATTGAAAAAAATATGAGCCTAATTAAAAGTTTAAATGAACATTATTTAAATCAGTGTTGTTATTTAAGTTGTACTGTTTACCCTATAGAAAAATTTAATAAGAAATTAAATCAACTCTTGTGATTTTCTATCCTCATAATATTAAAAAGGTGATATAATATTTCCCCTGCCTTGTTTTCCTATACATCCTGCGTTTTCTTTAATGAGCATTTGCTATTTTTGTATTAAAAATATTTATGTAAAATTTTAGTGGATTATAGTTTCCTTCCTTTGAATTAAATATTTTTACCAATTTAATAAGTAGAAACATACTTTAGGGGAAATTTGGATAGGAGAACATTTGTTGAAAGATGCGCATCTGAAGCCATTTAAAACATTTATAAGTTTTGCAAAGTACTATCTTATTGTTGTTAATAGTCATTTCTATTTTCCAGATCATGATGCTGCAATTCACAGATATAGCCGATTATCAAAAAAGAGAGAAAATGACAAGGTATGATCCATACTTACTCTTTCAGTATTGCAATTAACAACTGTTTCATTAGGTGGTCTAGTTTTTCCTGTTTAAAATGCTGTCTTTACTGGGGGTGTGTGTGGGGGTGTCAATTGGGGAAAAAGACATGTAATACTTTAAACAATAAAAAAAAATGCTGTCTTTAGCTTTGTACATTGCTAGCACATTCCCCACCACACACACATACATACACATAAAGAGCTCAGGTGGACATGTGCTTCCTTTGACACTTGGGAGAGTGAAGGGTAGGAGGTAAAAATTTGGGAGTCATTGGAATATGGAATATTCTTTGTACTTGATTTGGTATTCTCAGGAGAGCAGGAAGAGAGAAGAACCTAGTATATATTACATAGTAGGTGCTTAGTAAATATTTGTTGTCTGAATACAAGAACTTAAAGGAACACACACATTTTAAATGTAGGTGAAGGAAAACGAGAGGAGGGGCAGTAGGGAGGGAACCAGGAGTAGAGAGTGGTATGTTGTGAACTGACAAAGTCAAAGACTAATGGCTAAGCTACTATCAAACAATTAATTGTCTGCCTTCCCTCTGTGTGGTAGACTTTCTCCGACATGCTTAGTTTATTGTACCATTCTTAGTTATATGCAGAATTCTGCTTTTAATGTGCTTTAAAATGAAATGGTTGGTAGTAAAACAGGAAAACTATCTTAGCCAATATTGGGCAGGATTTCTAATATCTATAAGAAAATAAGAAAGCAGTGCACAATTGCTGGTGATGTGCCTTTTTCCTTTGGGTAGGCTCTTCTTCACAGCCACTACTAAAGATAAATTAAAATTAAATCAATAAGCCCTAACCAGTTTGGGTCAGTGGATAGAGCATCAGCCTGCGGACTCAAGGGTCCCAGGTTCGATTCCAGTCAAGGACATGTACCTTGGTTGCGGGCACATCCCCAGTAGGGAGTGTGCAGGAGGCAGCTGATCGATGTTTCTCTCTCATCGATGTTTCTAACTCTCTATCCCTCTCCCTTCCTCTCTGTAAAAAAATCAATAAAATATATTAAAAAAATTAAATCAATAATAGTATTTTTAATTTTTTCACTTAAAGGCAAAGTATGAAGTAACAGAAGATGTCTACACTTCCAGAAAGAAACAACACCAGACCATGATGCATTATTTTTGTTCATTAAATACTCTTCAATACAAGAAGAAAATAGCATTGTTAGAACCTCTACTTGGGTACATGCAAGCTCAGGTGAATTCTACACTGTATTTTGGATTATAACTACCCTAAAAACTTTATATTAAGTATGATATTTATGTTAAATATAAGGATATTACATTGCAAACTACAAATTACAATTTTGTGCCTATGTTTTAAAATAATTTAAAATTGTTATCAGGATGTTATTTTAAGGAAGTTAGGGAGAATGGTTTTCCTTGCAGATGAAGATTTCAAATATTTCATGGTAAATGAAACCACTTACTTTGTATGTAGATCTTGTTCATCACAATTGAGGACAGGGAACAGAAAGCTAAATGAATTGTGGAGTTACACCTATTGCTGGAGCCTCCAATCATTCTTTCTTCATAATAGATCTGAAAGAAAAGTTTGAGTTTGATTCAAGTTGCTTGCATACTTCCTGAGTTAAAAATATTAATGAACTCCAAAGTGTCCCAAGAGGTATGCATCAGGAAGGGGGCCAAAAAATTAAATTTGGGTAATAGAAGATGAGATGGCAGCCCCCTATTTCTTCAAGTATGAATATTGTTATTCCTCAGATACAAAACTTTTTAATCTTTGTATTAAACATGAAATAGTTTATCAATATGACTTACTTGAAATGTCTTAAAATTTATTTTCCAATTAAAAAAAATTGCTTACCATATGCATGTATCTATAATAATAAAAGTGTAATATGCTAATTAGACCATACGTTCTTCCTGATGAAGACAGGGCGGCAAGGGCTGAGGCAAGCTGCTGTGGCTGCGAGGGCTGAGGGCCTTGCACGAATTTCATGCATCGGGCCTCTAGTTAATATATAAAAGAATGAACAGTGAAATTTAAGTTTTTTTCTAAAGTGGTTTCATGCCCAGTAGAAGTCATTGTAAACTACAACCTATTTTAACACAGATGGGAATAATGCTTTGTTTTTTACTTACCCATTATCTTGGAATTTGTTTATATGCTTTATTTAAGTATTTTGTTTGTGTGTGTGGGTGTTTCTGTTGTTCAGCCCTCTTACTCTCACACCCTCTTGCCTCAGATAAGTTTCTTTAAGATGGGTTCTGAAAATCTCAATGAACAACTGGAAGAATTCTTAACTAACATTGGAACAAGTGTACAGAAGTAAGTATTTTCTTCCTTAAAATTGAAAATGAAGTTACGTGAATGATAAGTTAACAGCTAAATGTCATAATCTAAAAATATTTACCATTTAATTTCCTGCCGTGAGAGTGTTTCTTGCATGACTCATGGACACTTCTTTTTTCACCATCTTTTCCAGAGAATCTGAACTCTGAATTTCATAATAGTATCAAATCTGATGCTATTTTATTGATTCTAAACTAGGTTTTATGTCTGAGTATAACAGACACATGATAGTAATTATTCATAGTGAGTTATCCTCACAGTTACCTGAATTGTGGTGGATAGATGGGAGATCACTAAATAAATCTTGTTTTTCAAGCCATGAAAATTTAGAGAAAGCAGCTCTAATAGGTTCAGAAGTCTGAGCAGTGATGTGGTCAATCTGGGGGAGAAAGGGAGATGAAAATGTTGTTTTAAAGGCACAGGACAGAACAGTTTGAAAATTCCTTTGAAGTTAGGCATTGAATATGGCTTCATTAAGTTTTTGAATTTAGTATTGTTTCCAAAATATCTGTTTTAAATAAAACGTAAAGCTGTTTTATAACATGTTCATGTTACTTTAACTACCCATACCACTGTTGCTCTCTTTAAGAAAATGTATATAAAACAAATCACAGATAAATGTGATTGTGAAAGGAGTACTTTGTTGTGGTTGGTAGTGAATAACCTGTTCTCTGTGCTAGTGTTCGCAGGGAGATGGACAGTGATGTAGAGACCATGCAGCAGACAATAGAGGATTTGGAAATAGCCAGTGACCCTTTATATGTGCCTGACCCTGATCCCACGAAGTTTCCTGTTAACCGAAACTTAACCCGAAAGGCTGGATACCTTAATGCTAGGAAGTAAGAAAACTATTGTTATTTTCTTATATTGTGTATCATTTAAGTTAGTAGCAAGCAAGTCCTATCTAATAATAGACAAACATGGTAATTGGCCGTACCTTCGCTACGCCTCCCATTGGATAATCAGTGTGATATGCAAATTAACCGCCAACAAAGATGGCGGCTAATTTGCATATACCGGCTGGGAGCGAAGACTGAAGACACCGTAGAAGGAAGCCAAGCTACGGAGCTGAGGTAGCGGAGACGGGCAGGAGAGAAGCGGCAGAGACGGGCGGGGTAGGAGCCACAGAGAAGGGTGGGGTAGGAGTCGCAGAGACGGGAGCGAAGCCCTATTCTTGCAGGAATCCTCCTGCAACAGGCCTCTAGTATAATATATAATTGATATTGCCTGCCAAATTGTTTTGATTTCACTAAAGCTTGGATCTTTTTAGTTAGTGGTATTAGTATTTGGTTGAACTTTTTGACCTATGGGGTACATGAATAATTTTCAAAAGTAACTAGATATTTGTTGAATAATTTAGAATTATCTAAAAAGTGAAACCAATTTGAATTTAAATTTAGCGTAATGTGAATGCTATAAAATGTTATTTATCATACTTTAAACATGTATGTAATTACACCATCAGGTGAAATTTTAGTTTTTACCTGAAGCAAGTTAACCCTAGGAGTAAAATAAGTTCTTTTGTTTTGAATTTACACCCTTGAAAAGTTGAACTATATTTTTGAAGCATCATTATAGCAGCTTCAGTTTAATAATTTCCAGGCTTGTTTTGGAAATATATGTACACCCACTCACATAAGTGGTCAGCATACATGAATTTATTTTAGAAACTGAAAAACAGATATTTATATTTTCTAGGTGCTTTGATGCCTTTTTGCAAGCTGGTTCTTTGTGGTGTGCTTTATCTTGTGTCTGACTTATGATGAGATTTCATGTGTGTTATAATTAAAGAGTGAATGTACTTTCTTCATTTAGTAAAACAGGCTTGGTGTCATCTACCTGGGACAGACAGTTTTACTTCACTCAGGGTGGAAACTTAATGAGTCAGGCCCGTGGAGACGTAGCAGGAGGCTTGGCCATGGACATAGACAACTGTTCAGTAATGGCTGTGGACTGTGAAGACAGGCGGTACTGTTTTCAGATCACCTCTTTTGATGGAAAAAAGTTAGTATTTTTCCTTCTACTAATAAAGTATGTAATATTTTAAACTACTGAAATGTAGGATAATTCATTTTCATTCAGACACTTAATAGATATTTTAGGCTTGTTATATATTCAGGTAATTTTCTTATAGAAATGAGTTGAATTGTCCTTTCTGATCTGGTTAAATGATGTCTAGTATTTTAAGGTTACCAAAGTGAGGTCATATGGTAAAGACCTGTGATTTCATGCTGAGACTAGTCACTGAAAACCCTGCATGGTGTGGGGAAGGCAGCACAAGTTAGTGGAAAGAGCCCCAACCTTAGAGTCAGAAAGTTCAAATTCTGGACCCACTACTGAGTGTGTGGTCTTAGACAAGTTACATAACCTCTCTGAGCTTCATTTTTGTACATGTAAAATTGGGGGGAGGTCACAATCCCTGTTTTCTAAATTGTTAATGAAAAATCGAGATCTAACATATTTAATATGTCTAGCATGTACTAGGTGCTAGCAATAATAAATATTTCTCGCCCTAGCCGGTTTGGCTCAGTGGATAGAGCATTCACCTGCAGACCAAAGGGTCCCAGGTTTGATTCCGGTCAAGGGCCCCCTGGTTCAGGCTCATGTAGGAGACAACCAATCAATGTGTTTCTCTCACATCGATGTTTCTCTTTGTCTTTCCCTCTCTCTTCCACTCTCCCTAAAAATCAGTGGAAAACTATCCTCGGGTGAGGATTAACAAAAAACATTATTTATTTCAAGTAAATAAATATTTCTGATAAAATTATTTAGTCCATTAATGGTTATATGCCATTTTAAAATTTTCTATTATCTTTGCATTAAATGAGAATCTGTAGAACAAATTTTTGAAAAGCATAGAAAAATATAAAGGAGTATGGAAAAAGCTATGATCTCACTAACTAGAGCAGTGGTTCTCAACCTTCTGGCCCTTTAAATACAGTTCCTCATGTTGTGACCCAACCATAAAATTATTTTCGTTGCTACTTCATAACTCTAATGTTGCTACTGTTATGAATCGTAATGTAAATATCTGATATGCAGGATGGTCTTAGGCGACCCCTGTGAAAGGGTCGTTTGACCGCCAAAGGGGTTGCGACCCACAGGTTGAGAACCACTGAACTAGAGCAACAATTAACTTTTTAGTCTGTTGCCTTACAATTTTTATTTTTTAATTATAGTTTTTAAATAATTGAGGAAATACTGCATATGTAATTTGAACCTGCAGTCATTTAATACAATCATTTTATAATGGCTACATTATAATCTAGATAAGGATATATACCATAATTTACAAAACTTTCTAATGATAGATGCTTAAGTTATCTGCAAATTTTTCCTACTTAATTAAGTTGCTTTTGATCTTTCTTATTGTTCAGGGCAACTCTGGGTATCCTGAAAGTCATTTTCCCCCTATATTTACTAGTATGTACATTAAGATGTTATAGCTCAAAATGGTTATTTAATTTCATATTCCTTCCATAAACATATAATGAATGCCAATTACTGTGTATCAGTTATCATGGTAGATGTTGGGAGTCCCTGTATTCATTTGTCAAAATTGTCAAGCTGTTAATAACTCACTACATGTACTTACCTTTTTGTATTTTCAGTTTTTTTGCTAATGCTTAATATGATTTTCCACTTCACATTGCTGGTTTGATTCAAGATTAGTAAAAATATTTTTTTCTCTAACTCTTAAAACATGAACATCTATAGAAAAGCTAAATATCCCTATGTTAGTGATGAATATATTGAAAAAATTTTATTCAACCATATTCAATGAGAAATAATAAATAATGAAGTAAAATTAATGTTTTATATTATATTTGAAAGTTATTTATATTTGAAGTGTGTGTGTCAGAAGGTTGAAATAGATTCTTAGTTGCAGTACACCTTTGCTATAGGCTGTCTTCTGAAAACTAGCACCTGTTTCTTTTTTGGCACATTTTGGCATAGATAGCAAAGTTAAAAGTTGTTAAAATCCGAGTCCTGGTACCCCTGGTGATCTCTTTTTTCTAAGATACTAGTTGGCTATGTGGGTTTTTGTGTGTGTGTGTGTGTGTTTTTCATACCGATTGAGTTTATATATAACTTTTAAAATAAAAAAATTAAAGTACTGTTAACAAAGTACTTTAAAAGAAGTTGAGGGTCCAATTTTTCTTTTTTTTTTTCAGATCTTCAATTTTGCAAGCAGAGAGTAAAAAAGACCATGAAGAGGTAAAATTTTATGTTGTTAATTTCTTTAGCAACATCAAGATATTTTGCTGATGACAAAACATGTTAATATGTTCATTATAGAAGTTTGAAAAATTTGGGTTAATTAAAAATATCTTTTTAATAGAAGTTTTATCAACCTTAGAAAACATTCTTAAGTTTCATAAAGAATTTATAGTTGGACCTCTGAGGAGAGAACCTTAGAGATCATCTCTCTCCTCTCTTTTTAAAGCCTCCAATTCAGAAATGACCTTGTGGCTGTTGCTTTCTGACAGGCTGTTAGTATCATGAGGGGACAGTTTAATTTATTCACTCTTCTCACCAACCCTCTAAGACAGTATTTGCTGCATTAGGAATATATAGTGGCAGCAGATTGGCATGGGAGGAAGCAACTAAAGCTTAAAACCTTAGGTCCTCAAACTACGGCCCACGGGCCATATGCAAATACAAATATTGTATTTGTTCCCATTTTGTTTTTTTACTTCAAAATAAGATATGTGCAGTGTGCATAGGAATTTGTTCATAGTTTTTTTTTAAACTATAGTCCGGTCCTCCAACGGTCTGAGGGACAGTGAACTGACCCCCTGTTTAAAAAGTTTGAGGACCCCTGCCTTAGGGAAATGAAAGATAGAAAGCGAAAATATGGGAATGTCTGTTCTTCCTCACAAGTATTTTACTTTTGGCTCTATTTTTACTTGTAGTACACCAAATATGGAAGGTAAGTTATTATTAAGAACTGATACTTTAAAAACTTTGTCTTGAGAAATATTCTTCAATGAAAATGTATTATAGGTTGATTTTGAGCTATTTGCTATTATAATTGTTTTGGTGAAAGACAAGGCTACAGATTATATAGAGGTTACATTTATTTATTTCTGGTGGAAAAGAATAGCTATTAAAACTTGGCTTTTGATCTCTGAGGAACACAGACAAATGTCTGCAGCATTTACCAAACAGAATATTAATTTAGTTTAGTGATGCTCATCAAGCACTGGAATTCTCAGAGTGAAGCAGAAGGTGTGAAGCAGAGAGTTTTCTGTGTTAATTTTTTATAAACCTGAAAGAAGGGAAGTATGTAAAATCTATTCACCAGGAATATATTTAGCTCCTAACTTTTTTGCATTGGTGTTAATAATGAGATCTGAGTCCAGGCAGTCTTGTTTGGTAGGGATTAAGGGGGAAGTAATATAAAAAGATAGAGACTACTAAATTATAACTTCACATGATTACTATATTTTTTAATTTTCTTGTATGAAATTTGGCATTTAAAAATAATATATCTGTTCAATGTTCTGTTATATCCTCAAATACTGTACATATATATGCTTATGTATATAGGAAGGTATTTATCTTATAAGAAATATTATGTGTTACTCCTAATGAAATTTATATTTACTTCAAATATTGAACATTCTCTTTTAGAAGAGAAGCACTGTAGAAAAATATTAATCATATTCTATTTTTTCCTCTTACAGTGGATCTGTACAATAAACAATATATCTAAACAAATATATTTAAGTGAAAATCCAGAGGTAATATTTTTATTTTATCATATCTAGATATGGCAAAATTAAATCATGTGCTAATACAGCTTTTATTAATTAAGTCATAATTCTCAAGTTCTAAAATCTTTTAATTTGCACTTGTATGGGTAGCTTTAATGTATCAGGTATATAATGAGTATCTGGTCTTCCTGAACAATAAATTATTTCAAAGGTACTGAAGTCAGCCAATAAACATATTTAGTGGCCCCTGACCTTGTGTTTAGTGCTGTGTGCACCATGGAGAAAGGGGATGGAGAAGAAAAATAAGCCATGGGCCTCTGTCTTCCAGGAGCTTATGTGTATGGGAAGACAAAACTAAAACTTTAACATTTCAAAAAACAGTAGTAATTGAAAACATACTGTGATGACTAAAAGCTTAATATTTAAGAATGTTAAGATCAGTGTGGACTTTAGAGAACTGTGGAGATTATGGAAACTTGCACTGGGTAGGATTGGTCCATGTTTTGTGGAAAAGAGAAGACATTGTAGATAAGAGTACAGAAACTAGCTGTGTAATTGGATTTGAAGGTTCTTGTTGAAGAATAATAAAAAACTGAAATGTGTGTACAAATGATCTGGGATATTAAAATGCATTCAGTAGGTCTTGGGTGAGGTGGCCTGAACTCTTAATTTTGCCAATTATACTTCAAGTAGCGAGGGTATCAAACCAGATAAACTCAGCAGTGTAGACATAGCCATAGGTACAATCCAAACATAATGTACAGGCAGAACCCAGGTGTGCAGAGAACTCTGGAAGGAATCAAGTGGATCCATATTGCAGTATAGTTGGGAAAAGACTTGGCTTAGGACAGGAGCTGCCTGGCCTCTGCCAGTCTTGGTGGGCCCAGCTATGATTTCAGTTGAGGCAGAGGAAGGACTAGTTTCTCTAGAAAGTCCTCACCTTCTATGTCTTAAGCTGTTGGTGTAATGGTTGATTAGATGGGAGTGTCTGGGTATATGTAGAAGTCCATTATCATAATTCAGGTATGAACTGAGGAAAGACAGAAAAATAATGAATCATAGAAACAGGTAAAAAGAAATTGACTGGACTAGTTAGCATTGGAACTGATTAAAGGATGAAGGAGAGAAAGATGACTTCCAGGTTTTAAACCCAAGTGAAGGGAAAATTTTAGAAGAGTTCTGTGTTTGTTTGTTTTTTAATCATAATGGCTTTGAGGTGCCTCTCTAACACATGATTTAGATGCCTAGAGAAAAGTTTTGTACTAAATAAACAAAATCTCAGACTTCTAAAATATTAGTAATTTCTGACAATTTTATAATAATCTTATGAGTTTAAGAAATCAGTGCTCACTGTAGAGAAGCCTTTGCTTTTAGTAACTTAATTTCCCACCAATCTAGCTTTTCCTTTCTGTTATGTTACTTAAGCAACAAAAAATTAAAATGCAAATTAGATGACTTGTTAATACCTCGCGAATACATTGAGAATACAATGTTTGGACTTGAAAAATTCAGGCTAATTGTACTTTCCTATCAATGTTCAGAACTTAAGTTTTAATTAATAATTTCTAGATTATCCAGAATTATTTTATCTATATTAATGAGAGAAGAAATTTTGATTATTTTATGGCATTGTCTTAGTATTTTTGCTAACTATAAGACAGAAATGTAAAAATATTTTGTGATTTTTTTCTAATGTAAATGCCATTTTATTTAGCTAGTGTTTTAAATAAAAGAATAAGTTTATAAATATTTCTTAGGGAAAGCTTTCTTTCAATTTTTGGTCTGAAAATTATCCATGATAATTTTATCAATTAATAAATGTATAGATATTTCTGAGCATAAATGTATTCTGGAAAATCATGAAAACTTCAGCAGCATAGTTATATTTTGTTACTATTTTCTACTCTTTCTAAATTTCTTTATTTAGCGAATGTATTGAGTGTCTAGTATGCCAGACACTGTTCTAGGTGCTAGCAATACAAACTTGGTCCAAAAAATCTCATAGTTAAAAACATAAAGAAAACCCCCCCCACCACAATATTTCCTGATCTGTATATAGTAGACAAAAAATCAGATTCACTTCCCCCACATTTATAGGAAGTAAGAAAAAACAAGTTATAATGCTGCAAAGTTAATTATGTATCTTAATATTAAGACAAAGTACATGGAACTACTTTATTAACTCCAATTTACATTTTATGTGTAACTCGATTCAGAGAGTTATATTCAAACTTGTGGTTTTCTTGCTTTACTAATGTTAGTCCTTTTTTTTTTTTTTAAAGGAAACTGCTGCACGAGTAAATCAGTCAGCTTTGGAAGCTGTCACTCCTTCCCCATCTTTCCAGCAGAGACACGAGAGCCTGCGGCCTGTGGGGTGAGTTACCAGACTGTGGGTTATTTAGAGAACTACTTGGGATATTGGAAGGGATAGTGAACACTTTGATTATAGCAGTGCTGCTTAGACTAGTGTGAAATAGTTCCCAAACAAAATGGAAATTGTATTTTCAAATTGGTAAAGTTACCAGCCAAGAGTGCTAAATAAAATGATTCCAAATTTTCTTTGTGTTTATCTCTAGGTTGAGGTGATTTATGTTTTTGAATTCATAACTGGAAAAAAAGAAGCCTATTATTGAATAAGTAGCTATGATTTGGGATTGTGTCTATTAAAATTTGTTCTATCCTTCTCATTGACTTACAAAGTTGTATTTTCTTATCTCATAGTTTAAGTATTCAGTTTCCAAAAGAGAAAACCAAGTGTGCCTTTTTGTTTTCTTTTGTGCTTAGACAGTCTCGACCATCGACAGCTCGAACCAGCAGTTCAGGATCCTTAGGATCTGAGTCCACAAATTTGGCTGCCCTCTCTCTTGATTCTCTCGTTGCCCCAGACACCCCAATACAGTTTGACATAATTTCTCCCGTGTCTGAAGATCAGCCTGGGCAGGGGAAAGCCTCTGGCCAGGGAGGCAGGTGGGTGATGGCATCTCGGTGATATTGTGCTATGGTCTGTGAAGTTTATGATCTCATTTCTATCTTTTACATATCATGTGCATCAGCTATGTTGTACCTTATTTAATTACCTAAAATCATTTTGATAGTTAGAGAAGAATCATGGCAGGTTTTTCTCTTTGTTTTCTGCCTTAGATGAATGAGTTAAGATAATTTAGTATTTAAAAATATTTAATTCCGAATTGCTATCAGATCTTCATAGTATTTGCTATTAAATTGCAAGGGAAAGCTGATAATCTTATCTTTAGGTCATGACAATATTTTTAAAGTTCTTGAGAGTAATACACGTGCTATAGATTTATTAGAAAATATTATCCTGTATCAGAATAAGAGATCTTCAGGAAGGTACTAAATCATTATCATACTATGAATTATTAATGAACCATTTTTTTATATAATGAGAAATATCTTTGTTAAAGCAATAAAATTTTTCTTTGGCTATGGATGAAGCAAACATGACTTAAGGCAAATTACTTATTAAGCAGGTTAGACACCTAGTAAATTGATAATATATTAATTTGGGTATACATGGCTGTGATCAAGAAAAAGTAATTTAAATTTGATCACAGAAATATACTTAGCATCTGATATAATAGGTCAATCAGACATGTATTTGGGAGATAATTTCATGTTAACTTCATGCCAGTGCTATTTTAGAACCACTTAGCTCTTTGCTTATAAAACTTACTTTGAATTATACTTGTTTTCCTTCATGTGGGTGTGCAGGAGCCAAGCACTAAGGAGGGAGGTAGCTTCCATCTCTAGGTAGCTTTTCTTCTTGCATTGTTACATATGCCTTGAGAAATACAGGTTTAAAACTAGAAACTTGAAATTATCATAGTCAACTTATGACATATACATAGATAACCTAAAAAGAGGTTGTTACCATCCCAGGGAATGTCTTACATTTTTCTCAAGCAGCTAAAATTGAAGCTAAATCAGCTGTTTCTCTGTCTCAGCTTTTTTAAATTCATGAACTTCTGCAACATGGTTTATTATGGTGTGTGTGTGTCTGTCTGTCTGTCTGAACTTCCAATCCACATTTTCCAAAATGCAGCAAGTTTTGAGTTGAGCCTATTAACTCAATCTGAGGGTTGGGGCCTTCATCAGACTAGCTTGGACATCAGTAGTGTTCCTTAACAGGATGGGTTATTTTAGATTTTATTTTATTAAATGTATGTACAAGGTTTCGTGATTTACTTTTCAACTCTGGTTTCAGTGATTGATAATCCTCCCATGTGGCTCACTGTAACTAACTGTTGGTTCATAATTTTTTAAAAAAATTTCAGGCGTACAAATCCATTTGGAGAATCTGGAGGAGGCACAAAATCTGAAACTGAAGGTAAAACAGATGTGCAGTATTTTTATGTTTTAGAAATTCTAAGCAGTAAACTGAAGAATTTGTTGTTTATATTTGTTTTGCTGTATGCTATTTTAATGGTATCTTTATTTACTTCACAATTATCTCTTTTTTCTCAACTTACACTTCAAGCAACAGAACTTAATTGGACTTTAGATTTTGTTATTCACAAAAAATTATAGAATATTATACTTTTGACCTTACAAAGTCTTAAAGTATAAGATGTCCTTTAAGCTTTTCCAGCAGATGTTTTCTTCTGGTACTGGAGTATAACTTTATTCCTTTTTCTAGTAGCTTTTTATTTTTACTTAATTTCAAACTTACAGAAAAGAATAACATAGGAATTCTTTTTAGCCATAGCAACCAATTAATTGTTGAAGCATAATCTTTGCTATTTGAATTTAAGACCTTAATTCTCCTGTAACTTGAACACTATAGTTAGGAGCTAGAAAATCTAAAAGGAGGCAGTATATTTTAATTCTTTAGGTAAAGAAATGTGGGATTTAAAAATACATAATATACCTTGTTCTGTTGTAGATTCTATTCTTCATCAGTTATTTATTGTCCGATTCCTTGGTTCTATGGAGGTGAAATCAGATGACAATCCAGATGTTGTTTATGAAACAATGCGCCAAATCTTAGCTGCCCGGGCCATCCATAACATCTTTCGTATGACAGAATCGCATTTATTAGTCACTTGTGATTGTTTAAAGTAAGTAGTAACCTCTCCCTCAAAAAACTATAGGAAAAATGTATATATAATTCTAGCCTAATTAAAATTTGTTCAAATTTTTAATTATTATTATAGGTTAATTGATCCACAGACACAAGTTACAAGGCTCACGGTGAGTTCTACATGTTTAAAGCATTAAGTCTCTTTGGGCATAAATACACCTTTTACATCTTTATAACAATCCTGATTCTCTATATTCAGATATGGTAGTATCAACTACAATTGGTCTTTAAAAGGCTGTTATAATTAAGTCATTGGCTAGCTCTCCTAAAATGTTACAATTGAACGTTCCATGTAACTCAAAGAATCAGTGCAATTTGGTGTGATACGTAGTGTTTATCCCTTAGCTAGGGAGTATATATCACTAAAGAAACGAATGGTAGGTTTGCCCTGGCTAGGTAGCTCAGTTGGTCAGAGCATCGTCCCGGCAAGCCAAGGTTGCAGGTTCTGTCCCTGGTCAGGGCATGTACAAGAAGCAACCAATATACAAGAATGTATAAATAAGTGGAACAACAAATCGATGTTTCTTTCTTCCTCCCCTCCCCATCTCTCTCCCTCTTTCTCACTAAATTAGTAAGTTTTTTTTTATGGAAAATAAAATAAAAATAGGAATTAAAAGGGGAACATGATTGAGTTTATTTTATAATAAAGTATGTGCTTTTATGTAATCATTTCATAATATAAACCACTTTTGTTATTTGATTATGACTTTGTAAACTGTGTTATGACTAATAAAACAAATTCAGTATTCAACAGCCTCTTATTCTGCCTGGAAAGCCAAACCAAATATGATATTATTTATTCTTGGATTACCGTTCTGTTAAAAAAATTGACTTTACTGTTTTATTTAGGATATTTTTATAACAGCCTAAGTTTGTTATATATAAGAGTGCTATTGTAGCCCATCTGGCATGGCTTCAGTGGTTGAGCATCAACCTATGAACCAGGAGGTCACATACCTGGGTTGCGGGCTCGATTCCCAGTGTGGGGTATGCAGGGGGAATCTCCCATCATTGATATTTCTCTCTCCCCCTCTCCCTTCCTCCCCGAAATCAATAAAAATATATTTTAAGAAAATTTTAAAAAAGAGTACTATTGTAATGGCTTGAAAAATCTCATGTTTGCCTCTGATGTTTTCTGTGGCAGTTTCCATTACCTAGTGTAGTTTTATATGCTACACACCAGGAAAATAAGAGGCTTTTTGGATTTGTTCTTCGGACATCTGGAGGGAGAAGTGAAAGTCATCTGTCATCTGTCTGCTATATATTTGAATCAAACAATGAGGGGGAAAAGGTACCTGACTTTTCAAAATGTGTCTCTGTTGTGAAATGCATATCATAATTAAAGTTCTTAAGAATAATTAAAGTTCTAAGATTTCTGGAAAACTTAGACTTTGCCTGGTTCAGCTGAGTTGCTTGACCAAAGCCTGTTGCTCTGAAGAGAGCTGAGCCGATGTATTGGGCCTTCTTAGTTCTTTAGACCTATATCTTTCTAGCCATTGATAGCTAGTGCAATCTTCTGACCTCATTAATTTATCCTGGGAATGCAATATATTCCCATAACCAGCTATTTTCAGATGTCTTCAGCTTAGAGTAGCATCAGCAGCCTCTTACTTTATTCTTTGCAGACCCTTACTATTTCAGTCATGAATTTGAGATAATAAGTGTATTATGTTAAAAAGGTGACAGCCAGTAGTTGAAACACACAGACTGAAGAAAACAAAAGTCTTGGTTTGGGGCTTGGAACATTTTAAAATCAGCCTTTTTTTGAAGCAGTGTATTATAATGAGTTATAAAACTAGTTACATTCGCCATTTGGATACTTGAAATTATTAAATTTGATAGGAGAACTGCTTAACTTTTTTCTACTTTTCCCCCTTTTAGATTTGTGATTCTGTTGGACTGGCAAAACAGATAGCTTTACATGCGGAACTGGTAAGAATCCAAGAATGTTAACTAATGTAAGGCAAGATTTTTCATAATGACAAATAAAAAGATTTTGCTAAATAAGGTTAACATTGGATACTATTGCTGATTTGGTATTTAGAATTTGGGTAAATGGCTAACATAGCATGTAAATTTTTGGTGTGCTTTCTCATATACATGCAGAAAATAATTTGAAAGGTTACAAAGAATATTAATTGAAAAGTTTAAAACTTAAAGTTATTTCATACTTAATTCATTAGTTGTATTCATCTGTTCTTTAGGATCGTAGGGCATCAGAAAAACAAAAAGAAATAGAGAGAGTAAAAGAGAAGCAACAGAAAGAACTCAGTAAACAAAAACAAATTGAAAAGGTATGCAGTCCTAATATCTGGATCTTCTCTGTGATTTTTGTAAAGAATTTCCTTAATTCAGCACTGACTTCATTCCAAATGAAGGTTTGTTTCTGCTTGCTCAGCTACTTCATAACCAGAGGACTCATAGCATAGCAGAAAAGGATGACATCTGTCTTCTGATATGATGTTTACATTATAATTATACTGACATGCCGTTTAGCAAACATATCTGAACTTTCATGTTTCCATATTCCAGTGAAGGTTGTCTCTGGCAAAGCAGGTCTTTTGAGAGGCTGTGTCATATAGACTTAATTGCCATTGCTGAAATCCACGTTGACCTCTAGGAATGTGTATATATACATACATATATATACATACATATATATATACACACACACACACACACACACACACATACATACATACATACATAGTTATAATATATAGTGTATAAATACACACATATATATATTTTAATGTTACCAGGAGTGTCAAATCATTGTCTGTCCAATAGAATAATTTTAAGCTAGACAAATTTTAGAACAAAATCTGGAGAATACATTAGCTATGTGATACATGAGATTGAAAAAGCCAATTATGGGGTGTGGCATTGACATCAGTGGAAAAGATAACTGGGATATTTAATGAGATCAGATCAGCAGGAATTGTCAGTGGAGTGATGTATGGACAAAGGAGAGGGAAGTGGCAAAGATGACACTGAAGTCAAGGCTTCTTGGGTAGATTAGGCTAAAGGAGGATGACAACTGGTTTATTAGCAAGATAAACAAAGCTGGAGAAGAGGGCGCAAAGAGGGAAGGGGAAGGGATGTGCGGTGATGCATTATGAGTGTTTTACTGTGGAGTATAGCGATAACGATGTCCTGAATTTGGTTATTGACCATAATAATGGAGAACACAGAAATGTGTGGTTTTTATAGGATTTATAGAATGGAACCAGAATTCACTTTGGTGCTGCATTTGTTGTTGTAGCCTTTCTTCTCAGTGAGTTGCCAGAATTATGAATTATTTTACAACAGAAGGATTGAAGTGATTCTCAAGTATGTACTTTAACTGCATAGTTTTCCATTCGATTGCAAACAATTAACTTATATTTTCTTTTCTGTCTTTTCCACTAGGACTTAGAAGAACAAAGTCGGTTGATAGCTGCTTCCAGTAGACCAAACCAAGCCAGTAGTGAGGGGCAGTTTGTTGTCCTTAGCAGTAGCCAGTCAGAAGAGAGTGATTTGGGAGAAGAAGGAAAGAAGAGAGAGTCAGAAGCATAAACTTATCCTTGCTTTTGGTTGATAATTCTCCCCTTCAAATTTATTGACAATTTCTGTGGTGAAATGACTCAAGGTAACAACTATGTTGAAATATCATGGAGGAGACTAAAGTTTATATTGGCTTGTTTGTTTTAACTTCATTTAAAAAAATAAGTTGACCTTGATGACTTAGGTTTGCATTGATTTCTTTTCCTCAAAAATAATATGCTATGCAGTAACATCAAATTCCATATGTCTAAAAGAAACCTGTTCATCTCCCTAAAGTAGATTGCTGAGGAATTACACTTGCTCAAGCCTTTTCCCCTTTAAATTGTGAATTTATTGTAACTGGCTATGACCGTAAGAAATCATTTATTCTTCAGCTTCAGATATTCATGGTTACACTCCCCCTCTTTCATTAAGAACATTTTGTTGGTGGCACGCTCTCCCTCCCAGGACCACTGCTGCACCTTTCCCTTCTGAACCCTCTTGTTCCCCCACAGGCACACATTTCCTAAACTCTAAGGAACCCCACGAGACTTGCAACCTGGGAGTATGGGCAGTGGCATCCCAGGCTAACCCCTGAACCTGTCTCCAAGGTCCCCCTTTCTCTGACTTTCCAGTGAGCTGACAGCCCCACGTGGGCTCACTTCTTTCACTGTGACTTTTATTTCTCAGTGAGTCTACCAGCCCTGCTGAGGCTCTCCCCTGTTACTTCTTCTGTCCTAAGCCCTTCCTGTTTCACTGTCCCCAGCTTTAATAAACGTACTCTCAAAATCCAAAAAAAAAAAAGATAATTCTGTTGGTAGTGAGGAAGCTTTTGACTGAATAGGTTCAACACTCTTTATACAGAGAATTCTACAAGTTTGCAAATATTTTAACAATATTAAATGTGCAATAGAACTTTTATAAAATAATTAGAAAAGACATTTTAGACTTAAGGTTTTAAATTGTGGCAGGTGGTACTACTGTTGATGCAGGGCACTTTCTTGGATTGCTCACATTTCTCTGATGTACTACACCCAGTGCCATTGGGAAAGAAGCTTAAGTGTCAGTTCAATTACTGTTACAGCCCGGGGCATTTTATTATCACAGTCTTAGTTCTCAGGTTGGTACTTGAATTATTGCTGCAGAGCAGTAATGGTTAAAATAAGATTTTGGAATTTATAAAAAGGGATTTTTGTTGTTTTTGAAGTACATTTTAGATTAGGATTTAACATGTAAAGATATTGTTAAAGGATAATACATTGTATTTTCTGCATTGAGTGAGATACTTTTTATTGAAAATCAAGTGACATTTCAAAAGAAGTTCTATAACAATTATGTTTTCTGCTTAAAGTAAAAATTCCCAGAGATTAACTTAGAAAATGTAGTCTTCTAAATTTCAGATTGATACCCATAGTATTTTCATAATCCCATGTTTTGATAACATACTGATCACTGCTTTATATCCACAAAGGCAAATAACTAATATATGAGAATAGGATAAGTTGCACTAATTATTGTAAATACGTATATTCTTCAAATGAATGAAATATCTCATTCCATGAAAGACTGAAAAGGAATTGAATGCTTAAAGTAGGAGGGTTGACCAAGGAAGGATTTTAGCATGGTGATAAGGTTAAAATGACATTTCTCTACTGCCTACTTCTATGTCAACAACTGATTTTTTTCTTTACTCAGATTTTTAACATTGCTGATAGAAATTATGTTCCTGTGTTTCATATGTAAAAGTATATGTAGACCAGTTATATTGAATGAACTATTTTACAGTTATACATTTAAAATTTTCAAGAGATCAGCCACTAAGACTAATTTTAATTTTTTTAAATTTTTATTTATTTTTAGTTGATTTTTTAGAGCAAGAGGAAGGGAGAGGGATAGAGAAATAGAAACATAAATGAGAGAAACTTCATTGATTGGCTGCCTCCTGCATGCTTCTTACTGGGAATCGAGCCTGCAACTTGGGCATGTGCGCTGGTTGGGGGCGGGGGGCGGGGGGGAATTGAACCAGTGACCTCTTGGTTCCTGGTCAATGCTCAAGCACTGAGCCACACCGGCCAGGTAAGACTAATTTTACAAGGGAAAAAAGCCTTTTGTTTTTTATGTACAGTTAATCTTTAGTTCTGAATTAGAAATGGCATTTATTTAGTTCTCACAATATAGTGTGACTGTTCACACTTTATGTACACTGTTTTCTGTACGAATGGGATAGGTGTTTATATATAAGATCATGATACTCTTTTATCCATGTGCCAAATGGGAATAATGATTACTTGACAATCATTGTGAAGCCTTATGTTACCAAAACATTTAGTAAAAAATAAAAAAGTAGAAATTTATGGGTTACTTTTTGAAAAAAGTTTTTTTTTGTGCTTACTAAAAAAAATGCTTTCACAATAGCTTGTGTATTGTTCTTTTATAGAAGGTAAATTTTCTTCTGTGGTCAGCACTTGATAGTCTTGCAAGTCATGCTTTTGGGACCTTTTTGAGAATTAGTAAGCGTTCTGTTTAAGTCTTTTGTTTATACTATGAAGTTGTCAACTCACTTAGCTCAGATGAACTTTGTCACCCAACAAGGGGAGTGGTCAGCATTAGGAGGCAGTTTTACTAGGTTAGTGTTTTACCTGGTAGCGACATGCTGACCTTTGTTAGCACTCTGGTCATTGGGGTAGAGTTAAGGGTACTGGAAGGCATAGGGATGCTGGACAGACTTATAGTTCCTTTTAAGTTACATTTTGATAGGAATTTCCACAATCATAACCTGTCCATAAGTCAGACTAAAGCACATTCCAACGCCCAACAGAAGTTATGTGTGGGTTTAACAATTTTAGATGATTCACCTTCTATTCCATTACTAGGACTGTATGAACTATTCCACTACTGCTGATATTTAAGCATCAACTTTAATAAACTCTTTTTGATGAAAGAAGGCTGCCCAAGGGTTTCTGCATAATGTTAAAATTTATCTTTGTTACCCTTTGAAATCCCTTGTAGGTTTGGGATGCTTTGGTGTTAATTGAATTAGATTTTGGGATTTCTTACACAGATTCAAACTTATACTTAATGTTTTGTGTTTTTTCTTCTTTTTAAGAAATTAACCAAACATTCTTTAAAAGGAAAAAAATTAAGTCTACCTAATTTTGCTATGTATTCTGCTACCTATATGAATAGTCCTTTTGTACCAATGGTAATGAAGTCAATAGATAGGAAACAAGTTATTCCTTCTCCCTTTTAAAATGTTCAAAACTTGCTAATAAGGGACTGAAACTATTACCTTAAACAGAATCCCCAAAGCCATTGTCGTTTTTGCCATGTCTACAATGATTACTTTGTGATTAATTTCAAAAGAATTCTCAGCCTCTACAGTCTAGGTAGATTTATTTTACCTTTATGCTTGTGCATAATATTCTATGTAACATATAATCGTGAGTGGTAAAGGCATCAGAGTTAATTTTGACTTATATATAGGAACTTGAAGTATTTAAAATTTAAATCTTATAAATGCTGACAGACCCTAAGAACCCATGTATTATATAAAACCTTCTGCCACCTGAATTAATAAAGTGAAAATATTAACATTGGTTTTGACAACAACCTCCTAGCATTCAAACTGTACTTTAAATTTTCAAACACACTGACTGTAGCAAGACTTTCATTTTATTACTTGCAAGTTTGGTTTTCTCTTCTTTCATGAGATTTTCTTCTTCTACATTAAGAAGTAATATATAAAAATTTGAAACTGGAACTATATTATACTTTTTAACCAATCTCTTGTGGCTGTTCTCATATGTAATTCAGTTAATATAAGAACTAAGTTTTTAATCTCATTAACATGAGATAAAATTATAATTAATATGTAAAACTGCTTTATATATTTGTAGTGTAACTGAATTGATTAATTCTTATTTCACTGATGCTATTAATCATGCAGCACTGAATTCATGCTACATTTTCCTTTAGAATTGGATTTGAAGAACTCAATGTAATTGTGGTATACATGTGGGGTGGAGAACTTACTTTTTCATTTTGTCAAAACAGATATTCTCTGACAAGGCTTCAGGAACTATGCTGTTAGGAGACTTTTAATGTATAATAAAGTCCATAATTTTTGTACCATCATTTTTGTATGAAATATTTGACATGTTCTGAATTTTATTTCTCCGAGTAATTTCAAATGATGCTTTACATCTAGCCCCATTGCAATTCCCTAACAGCTAAAATGAAAAAAAAGAAATTGTCACTTATTGAAAAGTAATACTAATTCTTCACTAGTGACTTGTTTATCTTTTAGAAAAATAAAGAGACTTCTTAGTAGCTACCCTGGACATATTACAGACAGTGTGACTATGTATACTTTCTATGTGTGGTTCTATTCAAAGAAATTCCTATTGTTTATAGGGGCAGGTTATTGTGTACACCAGCTTAAGTGTTTTGGGCCTGTAGTTGTAATATTGCATATTCATCCCATGTGCTCTTTAGAGTTTCCTGTAGCATTTACCAAGTTCTTTTCTGCTACTGGGAGTTTCTGTTCTTGTTTTGAATTTTATAAAATGTATATACACTTTTAGAAAGTCCAGGGGGATGGATGGAATTAACTTTACAATTATGATATAAGTGTATGTATCTCCTAAATATCTAGCCTATCTAATAATAGCCAAACATGGTAATTGACCATACCTTCGCTACGCCTCCCATTGGCTAATCAGCGAGATATGCAAATTAACCGCCAACAAAGATGGTGGCTAATTTGCATACTGCAGGCAGGGCGGGACAGCATGAGCCGCCATCCAGGCCCTGTGTGCAGCCCCGGCCCCAGCAGGGACCCCCATGTGCTGCCTAAGCCCTGGGCTGCCTAAGCCCCGCCCCCAGCCTGGACACCATGGCAATTAGAGAGCAGGAAAGTGCCGCCCACAGGGAACACCCAGCCGGGCCTGACCCTGGGTGCCCTGGCGATCCAGCGATCGGTGAGCAGGAAAGTGCAGCCTGTAGGCAGCACCCAACAAGGCATGCTCCTGGGTCGCCATGGCGATCCCAGAGCAGGAAAGGGCGGCCTGCAGGCAGCACCCCACCTTGGCCACAGCTCAAGGGAGAGTACAACACGCAGTGGAGGCCAGGAGCCTGAGAGATCAACAGAGAGGGGCACCTGCTCCAAGCCTCCATGGTGTGGCTGGGTGCAGGCCCCCAGCAGACACACACACACACACACACACAGTGCCTGCTCTGAGCCTCCATGTGGTTGGGGGCAGACCCCCAGTGGGGACACACACACACACACACACACACACACACACGG